TCATGATAGCCCGAGAGTCGCCGCTGTTGGCCACCACAAGTTGGTCACCTATTGAAGCAGCGAAACAACCAGTGCTGCCTTGCGCCCTCCATTTATCTGAAATAACACACGCCGGAAATCACAGAAAGAAAGAAAAACACGCCAGTGTCTGATTGTAGTGTCATTCTCAAGGTTTACGTCTTGACGATGTCACTTATACACGCAGTGCAATAAAGCAATACTCGCGTGGAAATGAGCATCCTTCTGCAAGTTGTGAAAAGCAACATCCGGGTGTTGATGAAAAAGACTAAGCGTACCGGTATGTGCAAACAGACCAGCCAGCATGATCCTAACTCTTGGCCTATGCTCACGTTTAGTGCGGACCTCCCTAGAAAACTACGCCACATAGTTACACTCGTTGGCGTTGTCTTCATTACAGACAATGTAATCACGGTCGATAAGATGTCAATTCGTTTCTTGAGGTCCGTTGCCTTGACTGGAAACTGCAGTTGTCCAAAACACTCGGAGAGCAGTTCATTGTGCGGCAGTGTTTTCGGGCCGATTTGGTGAAAGCTGGCCACCTTTGAAAAAATAAAAGAACTGTCAGCAAGTGCTGAGGGGTGAGGGGCCTCATGGTTACATGATTGTGGAGTTCAGTGGGATGTTGGCGTTTCGGTCTGTCAAAATTCGTCTTCGCTTGGCTTCCCCTTTCTATGTTTATTACATAAATCTGAGCCTTCCAAGTTGGGTGGTCTGTTGCTTTGCGTCGTCGAGTTGTGGTAAGATCGGCATGTCCAATAGTCTTACTAATCTCATCATCATCCAGTAACTTACTTTCGGCATTCTTTGTTGCCGTGGCTAGGCCCCGGCGGATAATACTAGCAATATATCTAGCATAATAAGCATTTTCTGGAAACTAGCACTGCGCTAGCATAATCCGGCAAGTTTCGCAGAAAAGTAGTATATTCTTGCGAAAACTAGCAAATTATTATTGCACAATATGGGATTTTCATGAGAATTCACAATGCCCTCGCGACTACCGCGCCTTTGCCTGCTGAGTAGTAATAATTCTGTGCTTCTTGTATTTTTCTGTTTCGCAGAACAGGATGTATGCTGCAAAATACATGTATGCTGCTATCAATCTGCAACATTAGTACAGTCGACCTACCCTTATAACGATAACCTCTATAACGATATTACCCTTATAACGATATTTTTCTGCCAAACCAAATCACTCCATTGACTTTTGTATACAATGCCCTACCCTTATAACAATATTGCTATAACGATATTACCCCTATAACGATATAAAATGGGCTGACCAATCAACATTTTCCGTTTTATAACAATATCTAGCAGGGAAGATGTAGAGCCCACTATCCAGGTAGGGCAAGTAACTTAGTTTCACTTGATAAGTCGCTGGGACATGACGAAATGCAATGGGGGCACCTTGCTGTGTACATGATGTGCATGTATGTCAGTTTTTTATGCTATGAAGAGTGTAAAAAAATTGAACAAAATCCATGCATTATGATGTATGTGTGTGAAATGAACCAGTTACCCCTATAACAATATTACCCTTATAACAATAATTCTTGGTCTGGCGCAAATATCGTTATAAGGGTAGGTCGACTGTAATCTATGATACCACTATTTCCATTTTTCCGAAGCAGAATTCAAGCATTATCAGCGCTATTTTGGAGCAGAATGAGGCATATAGACCGTATGCACGTTGTACAGATGCACGAAATCCCGTAGAATCTCGTATAAATCTGTATAATCCAGTAGGCCCGGTTAGGTGTTGAATGTGCAGGACCCTATTGTGTTTACTGCCATTTCCACTACGAAATGGGCCCTGAAGGCATTTCATACGAAAAACCTTTTTCCGGCAAAGATCTAGGCTGCCATTAGTTCAATCCCAAAGGGAGGAAGCTGGAAAAGCGATTGTTTGCCGTGAATTATGAGCCTAAATTGGTCAAATGCTCATGTATAGCACACATTGAACACCCAACCGGGTATGTACACACCTATATTCCCTAGTACAGAACTTTGTACATCTGTAAAACGTGCATAAGGACCATTGAAAAGCAGAATCCATCAAATTCTCGAGCATTATCCGCCGGGACCTAGCCGTGACCCGTGGAACGTAGTTGGTGCCCTTCTTCGTTGTGCTTTCCTTCCCCTCTTGGACCTTTCCGAACCGGAGCCTTCCAAGTTGGAAGGTTGTTGATTTGCGCCTCGGAGAAGCCTCGGTCTCAGTACTCCTTGTTAGTTGTTGTGCCATTTTATCGCACTTGCTGACTCACTGTATAATGATCTGGTTTTGTTGGTGGACATATCTCGTAGCAATTTGTCCTTCTTTTTTACCATTATTAAATAATGTTGGCTTAGCACCATCCCAGTTCAACCGCACATTTATTGGGGATAATACGACCCGGGCCAGTATACAGTACATGTAGGCGAGCTGCACCAAACCTTAAAGTGCCCAGCAAAGCGAGGGAAATCGGTTCTTTCTTACTGGCTTCACAGTCCCTGACCGTCTTTTCACAGCGCCGACGTGACGCGGAAGTTCAGCTCGCGTTATGTGGCTCGCGCGTCGAAAAACAACGCGAGTGACGCTCACGTCGAAATTCGGAGTTTTACGCCAAATTTGACGTGAAATTGTGCGTCACGTCGGAAATAACGTGCAGGCATAGTGGGTCTAAGACCATGATTGAGAAACAGAGGGTACCAGGTTCATGGATGCAGTGAATGGGATTTTCGGTCCTTGACCACTTTGGGGTGGGTCTGATCTACTCACCTCCCACCACTTAGGAGCTACATCTGCGCCTTGATCCAAGAGGGTGGTGGCGTTCCTGCGGATGCGGAAAACTCGGCCTTTGGCCGAGTCTCACACGAACCGTGAAATTGTTTAACCTCTCTAATGTGGCAGTTCCAACTTGAAAATCCCAAACATGTATTCTTCGACATGCATATGCCAGACAGTGAAGCATATTTTTGTATAGTATGACATGTATATCAAAATGAAGCTCTTTTCATGCTCTATGCCAATGTGTTCTCTATTTTCATATTACAATTGAAAGGAACTATAAAGTCAAGATGGAAGGGAAATAGATTGGAAAAATTAGCATTTTGCAAGGTTTGGAGCCATCTACAGGGACATGTACATGACATGTATGATGATTACTGTACAATCATGTACACCTACAACTACATGACATTGTAGTTGTGCTGATCACTCCAACATGTATTTAGAAGCAAAAATATAAGAATATAAAAAGCCCCCCCCCCCCCCCCTGCATCTTCTTGCATGTGTGCCTTTATCCATCACCATGCATGGCATGGGTTCTGGTACTTCCGCATGACAGGTACTTGAAATAGCTGTCAAAAGCCGAGAAAGTCGTTATTCAAGCAGTGAATATGACCTCGGGGCACTAAAATCATGTCGTTATTCGCGAATTGTCGTTATTCAGATCGTCGTTGTATCCGAAGTTAAATGTATACAGTTAGATGGGACTTTGCTCTGGGCATGGAAATTCTGTCGTTATTCGCGAATTGTCGTTATATCCGCAGTCGTTATTAGCGAAGTTGACTGTATTATTATTATTATTATTATTATTATCATTCACCATTACATGTCACAGTCAGTATCTAGCAATATTATAAATTGGAAATTGGAAATTGTAGTTGTCTACCTGCAAAGCAGGTGATGTCTCAAAGGTGGCGGCATCAGCATGAACTTTTCCTCAAAATAAATTGCATGCCCCCAGTGCTTAGAGGTCAATGCATACATCGACTCTTAGTTACTAGTCTTAGATTTACCGTACTTCCCCACATATAAGCCCATGGGCTTATATGTGAAAATTTGCTACAAAAAAGATTTGTTGCTGTGTGAACATGGTCGTGTAGAAGCCCATGCGCTTATATGTGCAATAAAGGTTTGTCTGTGCCCTAAACAACGGTGTTATCACAATGCTTAGCAGTATATTCAGCTCCCGGGTGTTTCACCAATAGTGTTCACATATAAGCACATGCGCTTATAATTGGGGGGTGCGCTTCTGTCCGGACATAAGCACATGCGCTTATATGTGCGGAAGTACGGTATCACTTTCTAGTATAAATGCAAGACTGAAGAACAAAAACTCACCATAATGTCTCTCCTGCAGGCGATCGTCTGAGTCGTGAAATGCCTCTCGTAGGCAATGGTCCATATGATTTAACCCATGTCCTGGTTCAAGCAGAAGATGACATCATCGGGATCAAGCAAGATTAGCTACATGTACGTGTATGATATAACCTAACACTGGTTAAAAACCAGTATTAGATAAACCTTGTTATAGTTCACGCAATTGTTAGATTGACAGCATGAAACAAGGTGAAGGACACTGTGTTCGGAAACAGTGACCTTACTACAACCTTCCGCGGTTGGCAGAGCCCCGGTCCCTGCGGACCATTTGAACCATATGGGTATCGCACCCGGTTCTGACCCTCATGATGCTAGGGGGTTAGGAGACTACTCCTGATGTCGTCTTGTTTTCTTCGTTTTTTTCTTTAACTTGCATAAAGACTTCTTTTTCTTTTTCTTCCAACTTCTGCCCATGGCGTCCTTCTCTCAGCTTGTCAACTGTCAACAGTTTTTTTGTCATCACCATGACACTGTCGCGAGAAGGTTATTATTATTATTATTATTAGACACAATCTCATAGCATGTGACAAGCATAGCTAATGCAGGGACAGAATCCCCTGAGACAAGGGCGTTGAGCCAGCCACGGCAATAGTAAGCTAGGAAAACAAAGCAAATATGAATTAGAGCAGAAAATGAATGGAAAATTACAAAGAAAAACGATTAACGGCAGTGAGCACTATCAAAATTCGTGCATCACCCAGGTATTCGAGAATGTTCTTCGATGATAATTATTGCGTCTAGTTCAGTTGTGATAGTAAATCTTTAAACTGACCAATAGAAGAACAAGTTTTCAGACCGTATGGTAATGATAACCAATGAGAGTAGCCGGAAAACAAAGGGGACTTTAGATACTGGGCTGACTTAAGGTACTAGTACTCTTTTCGCGGGTGTATCTGGGCCGACCGCACAAGAAGAGGCATTACTTTGGTCCCACACAAGCAAATCACTCCAAATTTTCTCCACACACAGATGAAAGGGTAGTGATTGCAACAGCAGAAAATATATTGTCATGCTTTGCGAGATCCTTGGAAAATGTAAATCAGAATGTACACTTTCTGTCGATATGACGGGCTACACATTTTCTTAAAAAAATGTCCAGGAAAAGACTATTTGATGGGTCCAAATTTGTTGGATCCAAACCATCTAGGTCTGGGGAAGGGCACCTGGGTCAACAGAAGTCCATCCAAAGGAACAAAGGACGCACAATACACCTTATAAAACAACATATATAATACGCGACCGTGTTGCAACATTTGAGAGAGGGCAAAGATTGTTCCAGTTAAAGTGTTGCTCTTGAAAACACCCAGGTGCCCTAGGCCTGGGCATCACCTTTCCAAAAATGTATACTTTGGGGGGTGTCCAGACACTTTATCCAAGAGAAAACTTCAGAAAACACACTCGCAGTAGGCTAAAAACAGTGAAAAAAAGGGGTCCAAAACAGACAAAAATGCAGGCATAAGCTGTAATGTCAGCAACAAAACCTCACCAAACCAAGCTAAAATCCCCCAGCCTCATATGTGACACCTTCTTGCTCTGTTCTTTGCTCTTCCCAGCCCTTTTTCTTTCTTCTCCTCTTCTTTCTTGTGCTTTTTTGCAATGCTGAACTGGCCACTTCGGCATGTGCAATGCGGTCCGTATCCTCCTTCTTCAGTGCCTTGATGGTGTGTGTTATGGCCAACAGAACACGACATTTCTCTCAAGAACTTGACAAAGGCTCATGGCACCATCATTGAAAGTGCATGTAGCAAGATTTGCAGCGAGCTCCACCACACAGCGACCTGCATTGACTTCCTTCGGGCACATGCGCCACACGACACCATTGAATGCTTCTTTGGCATTTTGTGTGGCACCAAGCAAGCACCGTTTCAGAAGTGCCTGGTCTGCCAGTCTTCGGTAAACAGGCACCAGCAACTTGTAGATGGCCTCTGGCTTCGGGATTTTCTGCTAACAGCTGCTGGGCAGCGTAGTTGCGGCTTTTCTCGCCAACCGTGTGTGCAGCCTCAATTGCAGCTTGTTGGTTTTTCTGGAAGTTCGTCTTGTTGACAGGCTTGGGGAGGTCCATAATGGCACAGAATTTCTGGAGACCAGAGTGTCCTCGGCCAATGGGCCTGGCAGCTAAAACGGAGCATCGGTTGACGTCAAAAAATCTTGTTCTTATGGACGATGAAAACTTGACATTAGCACCAGGACATGATTCTGATGAACAGGATATGACCATGTGTGATCCTAAGCCTTGCTGTCTCTCCTTTTCCAAAATGATACCGCCAACTTTACAAACTGCACACACATTTCAGCAGAATCTCTTGCAGCTGCTCCAAGTCGAAAATACGTTTCCCGCACCAGTATGGGGCTCATCAGCCTCGAAACAATCACTGTCATCACTGCTGTCACTCGTGTCTGGGTTCGAGGTCAGTGAGGTATCAGACTCCGTTCCAACATCGCCATCGCTGTCTGATGTCTCCTGCTCCCACCAGGGTTTGCAGCCGACGAGCTTTGCAAATGAAGAGCTACGTCCAATATCTTCTGGCTCCGCTTCCACAGGAACAGGGTTAGGATCGGGAGCTGTTTCAGGCTTCTTTCCATAATATTTCTTCTTTTTGGCAACGTAGTATCTACCTTTCCATTTTTTTGTTTCCCATCTTCAAGCTCAGCACAGCGAGTGCAGAATAGTTGCTGTTTGTGATGCAAAAAGCGCAAGGGAACCCAGTTTTTACGCTGGGTCGCCATTTTGTGCAGTCATGGTAACGAATATTTGAATTTTTGCCAAGTCATGAGTACTCATTTTTGCTCTTCTGACAGCTAGCATGGTCACGCTGCAGTGCGTACATCGTACATACCCACGCACTTCACTGGCCTGTAACTTTGCAAAGACTGTGCCGATTCGCCTCAAATTTTGGATTCCACAGGTTTAGGGCCTTGTGCGTCCACTGAAAGAGTCAAAAAAGCCGATTTCTAAACTTCGATTTTTGACCCTACAAAGGAGTACTAGTACCTTAACAAGAGGCAGGATGAGCGCGTTACGGGTTGAGCTTGTCGAAAACCAATTGTACTTCATCATGTGTGAAGGGGTTTTATGAAGAAATATTTTATGAACCAGTGTACAGAGATGGTGCTTATGACGAACGGAGAGAGGAGAAGTGTGTGCAAGTCGATAAAGGGCATCCGAAGGAAAACATCGATCCTTGTTGTAAAGAATTTTAAGTATAAATCTATGGTGGACTTCTAATTGGTTCAGAGTTATGTCAGAAAGGCCACACCAAGCGGTATCGCAATAGTCGAATATAGGGAGAATATAGCACTGATAAAATAATAGTTTACACTGGATGGGCAAATGAGTGCAATGTGGTTGTAGTACCCCTAATGCTGAACTGGTTCGCTTGCATACACAGTTGACATGTGCAGCCCAAGAGAGTTTGCAGTCAAACATCACACCGAGATGTTTGTGCTGAGTAACAACACGGATAGGCATAGTCGAGTCAGGGAAGTATAATGGTTGATCAGGAGGGGATGAAGAAATATACATGGCTTCTGTCTTGTCTAAATTGGGCTGGAGTTTCCACGTTTGCATCCACATGACAGTGCTGTTGATGCGATGCTGCATGGTAAGGAGTAATTGTGCAGGGGAGGAATCAGAACAGATAAGGCCAGTGTCATCCGCATACAAACTAACATCGGGGACAACTGAAGGTAGGTCATTAACGTAAAGCAAGAATAACAAAGGACCCAGAATGGAACCTTGGGGCACTCCAGACGTTACAGGGAGGGGATCAGACAAGAAATAAGACAAGCGAACAGCCTGAGAACGAGCAGACAGATACGAGGATATCCAACGCAAGGCAGCATCCTCCACCCGGAAGGTGACCTCCAACTTGGCAAGTAAGCCACGATGCCAAACGGTGTCGAATGCCTTAGCCAAGTCGAAAAACACCATTCCCACATGCTCCCCACAGTTCCTCTTTGTCGCTATGTCTTGGACAAGTCGAGTCACCTGGTATTGAGTTGAGTCACCACGGCAGAATCCCGACTGAGCTGGTGAGAGAGCCGGCGCGATGTGCAGGTAGAGGGAATCGAATACAATACGCTCACAAAGTTTGGAAACTGTGCGCAGCAGAGAGATGGGGCGGTAGTTTGCCGGGCAAGCACGGGAGCCTTTATTCTTGTAAAGCGGTGTCACGATGGCGGATTTCCAATCCTGTGGGAATGTACCAGTTCGAAATGACATATTAAAAATAATGGCGAGAGGATAGGCTATTGATGGTGCAAGAGACTGCAGCACTTCATTCGGGATCCCATCTGAGCCGGGAGACTTTCCACATTTCAGGCGCTTCAGATATTTCCGAACTTGAAACGTAGTGACAGTGATTGTACGGAACGGAACAGATATGAAAGGCGACTGGGACAAAGGGGGAATGCGCCACGAAGGATCATCAGGTAGCCCAAATGAGGTGAACTGAGTATTCAGAACATCAGCTATGCTCTTGGGGGACGTGGCGACCGTACCGTCGGATGCTATCATCGTTTGGGGCATGACACGGCCGGAAGTGTGCCGCTGTGCTCGCACAAACTGAAAGAGTGTAGGTCGATTCGGTGACGTTAGTGATGCTTGGATGGAGCGTATATATTGACGATGTGCTTGCCGAGACAGGTGCTTTACAGCATTCCTTTGTCGGTTATAAGCTGCATGATTTACTGCTGTCGGATATTTTTTGTACACACTGTATAGATCACGCTTGCGTTTTACAGCAGACCTGAGCTCAGCAGTAACCCATGGTGGAGATTGCATGCGGGGTCGTGGAGATGTCACAGTGTGGTGCTCTCTGTAGACGGGGTTGGTGATGTCCCGACGTGGCCATGGGTAGGCCTTCACCACGTCGGAACACCCCGGCTACACGTTGGTTACCTCCACTCGTTAACCTGCCTGCTGTTGATGCTGCCACGCAAACTAATACTGGTTGAGGCACTTGTAGTTGTTTAGGTTTGCAGATGAAATTCAAGTTTTTTTTGTTTTTTTGTTTTTTTACAGTTAAAGTTAACGTGACAACATCAACAACATACGAGTTATTTCCAAGCGGTACTGATGAAGGTAACCAACGTGTAGCAAAATTGAAGCAGTTGCTCAGGTTTGTAGATGAAATTCAAGTTTTCTTGACCAGTACTAGTTTGCGTGGCAGCATCAACAGCAGGCAGGTTAACGAGTGGAGGTAACCAACGTGTAGCCGGGGGCCGGTGCTGTCAATCTAACAATTGCATGTACATGTAAATGTAGTGCTGCCAAATCATTTTCGTCCAAAATCGGACACCCTTCACCGCCAAGGTTGCACACATGGTGCGAATTTTTCTTCTCAGCAATTTTTTTCCCGAGAATTCAAAATATCGCCCAAATACCAAGAAAATTCGCTTCGTTGCCATGATGTGTGTGTGAGGGGGGGGGGGGACATATATTTGTATGTGGGGGAGGGCATGTGCGTGTGTGTGTGGGGGGGGGGGGTGCATGATGTGTGTGTGTGTGTGGGGGGGGGGGGGGTGCATGTGTGTGTTTCAATCACTGAGAGCGTGCAGGCTTGTCCACTATCATTGCAATAACCGGCATGATAACTATAGTCTATAGTCTATGAGAGTAGTAATAGTATATTCTGCGGCCAGACGTGCCTTCTCATCCACGGCTTGGAAGAGACATTCTCTTGTGTCCCATTTCTGCATTTTAAAATAATGTCTTAATCATGCCATTCTGTTATATTTGTTCCCTTTGGACATTGTCCAAAGCCCTTTCCTCCAAATTAGATATATGGCGTAGGAAAAAGCTGAAATTTCTCATGAATATCCACCATCCTCATCATAATTATCACCAATAGTCACCTGCACTCCCAAACAAATAACATCCCTATTACCTCTATTTGCAGAGAACGTCGACTTCTATGGTTTGGCCACGTTGTCCAACACGGCCCAAACTCTCCATGATACCAAGCACTGATGTTAGCCATTGACACCTATGACAGCAAGACGCCACGCGGGCGCCCCCCAATGCGTTGCCATCGGATCGACACTCACGGTCTGAAAAGATCCGAGTCAAGAGTGTCGAACTTACCATCAGCAACGCCCAGACCCAAGCTCATGACCGTAAACAATGGCGAGAAACTGTCAACAGAAGCGTTAGCTCATGGCATGCTTTGAGTGACATGCCAAACTGGATAATTATAAGTAATAATGTATTAGTCAGGGTATTTTACGACTCCCTGGTGATGGTATTACATGTAGTTATTTATTGTCATTATTCTGCGGGTGCACAGCGTACCGCGCCGGTGCAGACTGACACTGTGCTTCTCTTGCGGCGGGCGGTTATCTACTACAGTCGTCCCTCTCTAATCCGGCACTTTATAATCCAGCACCCTCGATAAACCAGCACAATTTTCAGTAGCCAAAATGTCCTCTTCATGCACATTGCAGCAGTAAATCAGATTTGTTAATCCAGCACCCTCCCTAATCCAGCAGATTTTCGTGGCACAAAATTAATGGTGCCGGAGGGACCACTGTACCAAGATCAAGAGTTCATAACACCCGGGGCACGGGGGTTATGAACTCGTATAGATCTACAAGCTACAGGCCACCTAGAATTAATTCGTTGTTTCGGGTCACTTAATTCACTCATCCGTACCAGGGTCGGTCGGTCGGGTATATTTTTTATTTTATTTTATTTTTTATTTTGGTTACGTCCATGCACATGTACATCGAATAGCTTTTGTCCATCTAGCCAGTCGATCAAATCTGACTGCAGTGGAAACAATCCAGCGCAGTCATTGACATTGTCCCATCAGATCCAGGTCCCCTCCAGGACCAGATATTGGCCTCGCTGGCAAACGAGTCTGACCGGCGAGCAGCTCTCACTTTGAAAACTTCTGTAAATAGCGACAAGGTGGCGGAGCTGATGCTGTTTCAGGACCGATTGCGGATCGGAGATAGAAGACAACGTCGTCACCAAGCGCTGCATCCTGTCATTTGGCTAGCCATGGCTGCTTCTGAGGTGGATATCTGGACTGCTATTATTAGGGTCGCGTGTGTACATAGTCTAGTTTGTACATTTGCATGCACTATAAAAAAAACATTTTGCGGTCGGGTGAAAAAAGACGGTCGGTCGGGTGACCCGAAACAACGAATTAATTCTGGATGGCCTAGTTATAGTTTTTTTTAAATCACATTGAAAAAACCCAAAAAAACACAATGGGTGTGTAGCCTGTACAGTGCACTAGTGCCACTGGCTAGTACTGTAGGCGCTACATGAACCAACCCCTACTAGCCCTAGGCCCTACTGGCCCTAGGCTAGAGTAAAGAGGGTCCGAACCAGGGAGTAGTAAAATACGTATCTAATATTGACTGAGTACGAGGTCAATATAGGAAATAAAAGCCGAGTAAAAGACCGAGGCGAAGCCGAGGTCTTTTACGAGGTTTTTATTTCCTATACTGACCAAGTACGAAGTCAATATTAGATTTATCACGACAAACAGTCCGTATTTCAAATTCCAGAACGATAACCTCATGAATCCCGGTTTTATGATTGCACAACCGTTGCACCACCACCTACTCATGCAGTGACAATGCTGCACTAGGCACCGTTCAACTGCGCAACCCCTAAGCAGTCAAATATAAGCAGTCAATATAGCCCTAAGGAGTGAAATATGCAGGAATATTTGACTGCTTAGGTATGGCAAAAATCTATGTGAGTCAATACTAAGGGAGTGATGAAGTATTTCACTACTCCCTGGTTCAAATGGTCGCAAGACCGGGACTCTGCCAACCGGGTTATGGTTGTAGTCAGGAGCACTATGCGTCCTCGCAAGAGTTCAACCCCCAGGGGTAATGAACTCTTGGTCCTCGCCTTGTAACAATACAATCATGCTGTCATGATCGAAAAACATGTTTAAAAACTACCAAGCAAGGCTTCTTTATACAAGAGAGAGAGAGAGAGAATATAATATTATATAGACATGCTGCATTTGGAGTTTTTACTTACGGGCTAGCCTGTCGCACAGCCTGGCAGGAACATCTCGCGACAGCATTCGCGACACGGCTGCCCCTCCATGCCCGTCAAACACACCAAACGTGGTGACAGAAGCAGGGGAGTCCGGTATTAGGAGGTCCAAATGCGCTACCGTCGCATCCTCCTGGTCTATGGTACCAGTCAGTGTAAAGGCCAGCTAACATCACATGCCGTCATTGTCACACATCGCAGCTACATGTACATGTATCTACAGGGTGCAATACTTATAGTGTGTCACATTGTTTCTCCAAACGTCATCCAATACAGCTATGACGTAGTCGTCATCCAAGCCGAGACAACTCAACATTGTCTTCGGACTTTGAAGAGTATTATAAATATATAAAAATACAAGTGTTCATGAACCATTCGCGCATTCTCTTCAAGTGCAATACCGGTACAATACAGCACATGCAACGAGAACCAATAAAACATATGGATTATACCAAGAGTAGATAAACAAGAGTGTGCAACTCCGCATGGGTTGGCCCACGGCGGAATTTTTTGTTGACGTAATCTTTTCGACGACGCACGCGCTGCGAGCCTTTTGGAGAGTTTTCCCTCGTGCACTTGGCTGGGCTTTACACTGCAAGGTCGGTGCCCAGCACGTGCTCTCACACTGCTCTGCGGCAAAGCCGCGTTTCTCTGAAAAAAGGTGACGTAAACAAAAAATTCCGCCGTGGGCGCGGGGTATCTGCAGATTGTGCAGGAGAGATCCGGAGTTGCACACTCTTGTTTATCTACTCTTGATTATACCAAGAGTAGATAAACAAGAGTGTGCAACTCCGGATCTCTCCTGCACAATCTGCAGATACCCCGCGCCCACGGCGGAATTTTTTGTTTACGTCACCTTTTTTCAGAGAAACGCGGCTTTGCCGCAGAGCAGTGTGAGAGCACGTGCTGGGCACCGACCTTGTAGTGTAAAGCCCAGCCAAGTGCACGAGGGAAAACTCTCCAAAAGGCTCGCAGCGCGTGCGTCGTCGAAAAGATTACGTCAACAAAAAATTCCGCCGTGGGCCAATCCATCCGGAGTTGCACACTCTTGTTTATCTACTCTTGATTATACGTATCACAACTTCACTGTCAACTTAGCATACATGTATATTATACAGTCAGAAAAGTGCAACAACTAAACTAGGCACAACACTGCCAGAGTACTGAGACATTCGACGACCTGACACCTAGCTCCAACACATCTCCGAAGCGCTAACCAACAGCCTTCCAACTCGGAGGGTTCTATTAAGGAATAAGGAGAGACCAAAGAGGTGAGTGCAACAAAGATGAGTTCAAGCCAAGTGCCACGGGACAACGTACTGTATGTCAACTGTCACTGGACGATGACAAGACCAGTAAGATGGTTGACAACGCGGTCCAACTACAATTCGAAGCAGCACAATTGTAGTTACCGACTTGTCAAATATCTTACTGGTCTCGTCATCGTCCATTGACAGTTGACATACTTTGTAAATTCGAAGCAGCAAAGCAGCACACCGCGGCCAACTCGGTGGGGGGATCAGAAATATCTCGCCACTCACTTGGATGGATCAAAAATAATTAAAATATCCACTCAGGTTGGGTGGTGTGCTGCTTCGAATTGTAGTTAGACCGCTATCTTACTTTGAAGTACTATTCTCGTCGTCGTCCAGTGAAAGTTGACATTAGTCTTTGTCCCGTGGGACTTGGCTTGAACTCATTTTCGTTGCACTCAGTGTTGTTTTGTTGTGTATTACGCACTGCCTTTGTGGTGTTGAGCACTGTCAGCACTCTGGGTACATCCTTCGGTACATTATACATGTACATGTATGTGCATGTACTTGCATAGGGAGGATACACGGTCGAGGTCCCTTTAACCGGACAACAACGTACAGCCAGTTTGCGTTCCAGTCACAAAAGAAATCCATTGTATTCGTCGTCTAGAAGTGGACACATACATGTAATACATAACACAATCATGCAGTGTTTTGAACTTTTACTTCGGCGCCGGGCCAGTAAGGCTAGCACTAGCAGAAACCATGGAAACTGATCGAGTGCAGTTTACAGCGCATACGAGCACACGTCACACGGACGACCTTCCTATCAAAAGCACTTAGTGATGAAGTTAGTTGGTTGTTCCAACGAGGAATACACGCTTCCTGCCGAACTTGACACTTGACTGACTCACGACTGCCACCCGGAGCACACGAGGAGCACGTCGCACCTTCCACTCGGCAACCTGCAAGAAAGCACCACTCCCTCGGCAGGTTTGCCGAGTGGAAGGTGCGACGTGCTCCTCGTGTGCTCTGAAGTGTCAAGTTCGGCAGGAAGCGTGTGTTCCTCGTTGGAACAACCAACTTCATTAAAAAATTGTGGTCACGGTTCCTTAACGAGAAGGCTTCAACCAGCCAACACTTACACGGTACCACTAGGTCCACTGCTACTGTGCATTTTGCCGCTTTTTGGAGCAGCAGCTGCGGAACAATGCTAGACTGCCAAGGCTGGGTGTAGTCCCCGCCCCGTTTATACTCTACCCTAACCAATAATTATTTATCACGTTAGGGATCCGAAGTTCTGAACAATTATGCACACATTGTTATTATAATTATGTATTACTTCGTCCGGTGAACCCCTGAAGATTCGCGAGTGTGGGAGCGAACACCACCTCAGCACGCAGCAACAAACACCGGACGTCTAGACGAACGAATACAGAAAGAAACAGCTGGCTGCCATATGCGCCTAACGTCACCACTTACCTATGTAAATTAATTATTGATCCTTCGCTTTCGTGAGCTGCTCTGTACTAGACTGTAGGCTAGCAAAACAGAAAAAAGAAGATGCGAATGTCCTCTGATTTACCATAGTGCCTGACCAGAGCCACGAGGCACGATCATACCAGCAGGTACTCTAAACACTCTAGTTACTAGTATACTACAAGTCAAGTGGTATCAAGAGTACATAAACTGGTTTATGTACTCTTGGTGGTATACAATGTATATGTAGTAATACTCACGGATACAAGGCGGGTAACCATTGGTGACTGTCGGTACAAATCGCATGTTCTGATGTAGTGGGTAACGAGTGTACCAGTCCCGACCCTAGCCTGGTGGTCGCAATAGGTGGCATGTGGTGTGTGGGTTGACGGCCACATACATGTAGTCATTGTGGCGACCAGGAGTAATCACATGGCGGCCGCCAGACTATTGTGAGCGAGTCTGGGTTTGGCAGTGGCCGTGGAGACTAGGCTAGATTAGAGTAAGAGTCTTTCCTGCATGTAGGCTCCACTAGGAGTTGTCTGAAACAACTCCCGGCCTGGTAGGGTCACAGATGTTGATCATAGTACTAACATTCTCACCTCGACCATGGAATCGCTGTATGCCAGCGCTCGGTCTAGAAGGACCAAAAGGAAAGGTTAGTCTCTGCCTGGCTGCCTACCTGCCTGCGCTGCATACAGTGGTGCATGTATTTAACTAGATTAGTATTCTACTTACTAGTGTATGTGAGCCTATTGTAAGGATAGAACGTTACCCAAGGCCGCTGCCCGCTAGACTAGTGGTATACGCGGTTTCCAGAAAAAAACGATTTTCCCCTAACGTATATAAACCATCATCATGATCATCTTTGATTTCGAGACTGCCAATACTTGACTGTACTTCTTTGTCTAGGCTGCTATTTGGATGTACGTGCGCATGTATTATTTTTAGTTGCATAATTATTCTGAGGATTATACTCGACCATTGAGCTCACTTTTGAGTTAGAGGTGATGCAGTGAGCTGCTTCATTGCATTCGACCCACGCCTGGCGCAAAACAGCTTGTAGACTCCTGCCAGCTTGTAGACTCCTGCCTTCGAGCTCTTTTAGTCCTACACTCTATCTCTCTGCTGCTCTCTTGACCTTGGCATGTTGTTTAGGAATACATGTACATGTACATGTAACGCCATTATAGCGACACGTGCGTTTTGGTTTTCTGATGTTTCACTACTTGAGGGAGCGCCTGAGTATGGTAGAGGTCTGCAGCTTTGAGGTGACACTACACCCATAATGTGCATGTGTGATGGCTGCCGCTGCCGGTGTGTTTCTGGGATTCTGTTGCATTGTGTTTTGCAGTGCAGATGTAGTCTCACGTAATAGTACTAATAGGCAAACACCGGCCTGTTTGTTCATCGACTCTTTAATAAATACAACAAGCAAGCCGCTGAAACAAGTTACTGGTGGGTAGGCTTGTATGTGGGTGTATGGGTAGGTAGGTGGGTAGGTACTTTAAAGATAAGCTCAATCTCCGGACAGGTGGCCGGCCGTTTCGATCTTGTTAGATCTCGTCAGCGGAGCTCAGAGCTACTGGCCGGACAGATCGCAATGAAGTATACAGTCATACATGTACACGTAATGAACGGCAAAGCATTTTTACAATAAGCCTTCGCGCGGATAAAACTCGAAAATTTTCAGATTCTACTCGAGAATCAGTGACACTATACTAAGCTTATGGTGGGCAGTTCTTGGAATTCTGCTCATCGGTGTCCAGGACAACATGCCAAACATACCGTAACGACTTCACATGAAACATATCGGAATTGTACCAAATTCTGCCAGTTTTCTGCCATCTACTACATCATGTGGGCCGGCCACATGATGTAGTTTGGTCCTATCCAGGATGAGAACTTCGAGGCGCATGGAGTCTTGTACAGAAGTCAAACAGATCTACAAGATGAAAGGGAGTCGGGTTTTCAGTTTTCACGACTGCCTGGATGACGCCAAGGGTAAACACCCTAGGCCCTGCTGATTAGACCGAAGATTGGCTCCGCGATGACGGTGGAGGGGAGGGCTGCTGCGTGTCTGCAGATCCTGTTCAGCAGTGTTCTTGCATGCACAGTGGATGGGTAGGTCTAGCTACAGGTCTAGACTATAATTAGATAAACCTTGTACATGTACATTATATTGTTGAAAACATGTTGTTGGTTGACAACATGTTACAAAGGCGGAGGACCACTGACTGTGTTCGGAAACAGTGTCAGTGACCTTACTATAGAACCATCCACGGTTGACAGAGCCCCGGTCTTGAGACCATCCGAACCGCATGGGTGTTAGCCCTGTCTCTGACCCTCGTTATACACGGCTGACATTGCAATGGCAGGAGGACTCAAACAACTCCCTACTTGACCCTATTATAATGAGGGTCAGAACACGGGCTAGTGTTAGCCGGCTTGCCCGTTCCCAAAGATGCTCGCCACTTTTTTCCCAACTTTTTGTTGTTTTGGAAAAAAATCGCAACCTTCGCAGCTTTCTTCATTTTCGCGAACTACCTCACAACCTTTCCGCAACCTTGGCCCCATGCGGTGGTCAAACGGTCAAGTCAAAGACTACAATCATACATGTCGAACAACTTGCATACACGCACATTTCTCGCGTGCTTTCACCACGGTTTCACTTTCAGACTCATTTCAGAGAAACAGTACTGTCAGTAGGTCAACTGTAGATACTTTTAATTACGCTCCTCGGCTTTCGTCTTGTTGAGCACTCTCAGACAGTGTCAGTACGCTGCTCTAGTGCTGCTGCATCACGCAATGTCCGCTACTTTTTGTAGTTTAAGCACTCTGGCGCTAGAGCGACGACTCAACGAGCTATCTTTTAAAATGTCCGTGTTGCCTCCTTTGCACCATGCATGGCTGGTATGGTAGCTCGGCCTATTTAGCTCGTAGCTGTACTGATGAGGCCTAATGGCCGAAACAGCTTGCTGTCTACAGCATTGGGTAATAATAATTATGTTTATTCCCTTTTGCGTGCACTGAAATTGTGGAAGATGCATACCGTCTACTTGTAGTTGTACTATTCAAAGGCATACTGGTACATGTAAGTTGTGGTTCACAGGAGGAAGGAAGGGGTATTGAGTCGCCGCAGTTCTGCTATTTCTGGCTACTTCTTGTGGCGGTTTTGGCATCTTTCTATGCAAAAGAACTCTCTCATTATTATGGTGAAAAAAGGAGGACAAAATGTTTCAAGTTATGACTAACTGTCCACCAACGTAACCAGATCTACTATACAGTCAGCGAGTGCGACAAAATGCACAAAACTGACAAGGAGTACTGAGACATTCGGCGACCTGACACCTAGCTCCAACACTTTCTCCAATGCTCAAACCAACAACCTTCCAACTTGGAAGGCTCAGGTTCGGAAAGGTCCAAGAGGGGAAGGGAAGCGCAACGAAGAAGAGTACGAGCTACGCATCACGGCAACAAATAGCCTTCCAAGTTGGAAGGTTGTTGGTTTGCGCCTTGGAGAAGTGTTGGAGCTATAGGTGTCAGGTCGCCCAATGCCTCAGTACTCCTTGTCAGTTTTGTGCCATTTTGTCGCACTCGCTGACTGTATAAGATCTGGTTACGTTGGTGGACAGTTAGTCATAACTCGTAACACTGTGTCCTCCTTTTTTCACCATAATTTAATTGGCTCACCATCCGAGTTAAATCTCCTGAAAATATACGGATGCGATTTTATTACTTGCACTTGTTTTCAGTGGCACGGTTGCGAAAAGCATGATTTGCGAAAAATTATGGCATCTCTGGGAAGGGCTAGGGCTAGCTAACACCCATATTAGTTGGCCATACGGTTCGAATGGTCGCAAGACTGGGGCTCTTCCAACCGTGGATGGTTGTAGTAAGCCGGATCACTGTTTCCGAACACGGTGTCCTCCACCTTGTCATGCTGTCAACCAACAACAGGTCTAGCTTTGTAGGATGGATGCAGGTGATCAGAGAAGTAGAAGAATCGGTCGCCCTGGGTTTGTAGGACTCCCAGCCCGATTCGCCTTTGTGTGCATTGTGTGCAGCATAGCCGAACCACCAGGCTCACTAGCCACGTGACTTGTGCAATAGCAGTACAAAGTGTACTACAAGTAACCAGCAGTTTCAGCGATTCTGGTGGAGGTGATGCAACTAACTGTTACTTTTTGCAAGGATAGTTACAGAACAGAACAACAAGGACAATCAAGGCTTGTTTGCTGCTACTTCAAGTTCAAGTTCAAGTAAATTTCATGCTCTGGCAATCATCCAGTGCAAGGATAGTAAATTACTATCCTTGCTGGGCCAGTGCATGCAATACCGTGTCTAAGGGCAAATTTTTGGAAATTTTGTTCTTTCTTGAAAATCAATCGCAGGGATCTAGAGAACACCTCTGTGGAAGATAAAGTTGGATATCACATTTGAAAGTACACAGAGACCATGATTTCTATGGCATTGTCCAACATAGAATATGCCTTGTATAATGCATTATCTACAGTGTCGCTGAAAGAAGCAACAGTTTTGCGTATCAGCCTTTAGAATTTGCCAAGACATTCAATGAAGGCTGCCTTGTTCTCCAGTCAAAACCGGGCAACATTGTCCAGCAAGTTATTGCGGCATTGAGCTAACAAGAACTCGCGTTCTTTTTGTGCAAAAACAACATGGTCACGGAGTGGTTTCATTGCAGAATTCTTTTCATCCTATGCACGAGGCGAACGAATATCGTCCCGGAGCAGCTCACACTTGTTGCACACATCCATCCGTCGCGTCATGAACTCGATGGACTTGCACTTCTTAGTCCACAGATACAAAAATATACGGTAACCCAAGGTTTGCGATTCACCAGACTGCTCGACATGTTCCGAAAGGACAAACTTGTAGGCGACAGATGTAGGTAAGTTTATGGGAGATTCCCCACCTATCCGTCTTGGTGCAGCAGACAGCGGGAGACTGAACACTCAGCTGTAGTTCAGAATAAACTGCTGCGCTCTGTCTCCCACTTCTGCACTAAATATATTCCAAGGCACATTGCCAGATTTCCATGTGCACCAGGATGACAGCT